CCATGGCAACATGGTTCTTCGAAAATTTTTAAGATTCATAAGATGTCATCGTCCTAAGGGACAATCGGTCGCTGGCTCGGTCCCTAATGGTAATAATGATGATTCAAATCTCGTCCCCTCAGGTCTGGAGGATTTGCATTTGGATGAGCGCATTATGCAGTTTTTGTCAATTGTCAACACCATGTTCACCAAGATCAACCAGCAGGAGCAGCCGCACTTCCATGCCCGCCACTACTCTGTTACCCCCCTTGGAACCAGATCAGGACTTATCCAGTGGGTGGACGGAGCCACACCACTGTTTGGCCTCTACAAGCGCTGGCAGCAGAGGGAGACTGTGCTGCAGACTCAGAAGGTAACATTCTCCTCTGCACTCGCTCACAATTTGTTTACCAAAACTGTACAGGGACATTTTCTGACTACATTGACTTGTTTGTTTTTTTTTGTCCTGACCAGGCCCAAGACTCATTCCAGCAACAGCCAGTGCCTCCAGTGCCCCGCCCTAGTGAGCTCTATTACAGCCGCATTGGTCCAGCTCTAAAGGCAGTGGGGCTCAGTCTAGATGTGACACGACGAGACTGGCCCCTGAGCGTCATGAAGGAGGTGCTGAAAGAGTTAATGGAGGCCACACCTTCCAACCTGCTGGCCAAGGAGCTGTGGTGTTCCTGCACCACACCCAGTGAGTGGTGGAGAGTCACTCAGGTAGTCACGGCTGTTTGCATTTTCAAACATTTAACTGTTTTTTTACTCATGACAAAATCTTTACCATAAAAACAAAATACAGCATGTCCAGTGTTCACTCAAACGTCCACTCTGAATTTTTTTTATGTTTCATTCATATTCCTTTTCTTTCATGCTGCAGTCTTACGCCAGATCCACTGCTGTTATGTCGATGGTGGGGTACATCATCGGCCTTGGCGACCGCCACCTTGACAATGTGTTGATTGACATGACTACTGGAGAGGTGGTGCACATTGACTACAATGTATGCTTTGAAAAAGGTCAGTTTCAACTGGTTTATTTAACTGTGCGCTGGGTCATTTTAATCCAGGGTGTCTGTCTAAATTCCAATTATCTGATTTTTAGGCCTTCAAATGTCTTAAATATGATTTTGAAAGGTCTTTAAAATTGATGGGATTACTAAAGTTAACGTTAATTTCATTTTCTGGTGCAGATTTAAATGTGTTTTTGGTAGAAATTTGTATTGATAATGCTGCAACAACTACAAAACCACATGGAACCAATACCATTTTTTCTTCATATCTTTGTATTTTTTTCTCAGTATGGATGTAAAATGGGTCATAAATTGCAGTCATAATGGTCTTAAAAACATCTTAGTCTTAAATTTAACCTGTTAAACCTTGTAATCAGAATCACATTAAAAAACACTTTATGTCCAATATGTACGCTCTCCTTTGTCTTATGAGCTACTGTCTCATTCGTTTCTGCTGATTATGTCTAACTTGATCAAAATTATGTCATAAAAATAGTCTTTAGCAAACTGTTACCCATAAGAAAAGAGAGTATGCATGTTTTTTTGCATGTGTGTCTAGGGAAGAGCCTTCGGGTGCCAGAGAAGGTCCCATTCAGGATGACCCACAACATTGAGACTGCTCTGGGAGTCACTGGCGTGGAGGGTATCTTCAGGCTGTCCTGTGAACAGGTGACACCACTGGGCCCCATCACATTCACACACATTCAGGACTTCATCGTAAAACCATTTATACACCTGTTGAAATGCATAACCTTAAGGCAAAGACTGTGCAGGACCTAGTCTTGATCTCTAATAAAAATGTTTGCTGCTTCTTGCAGATAGCTGCTGCTCTGCAGTAATTGCTAAAGTCAGATGTGTCATTTCAGGTGGTTCAGATGATGCGTCGGGGCAGAGAGACCCTACTCACCCTGCTGGAGGCCTTTGTCTATGATCCCCTGGTGGACTGGACTGCTGGGGGGGAGGTGGGCTTTGCTGGTGCAGTGTATGGAGGAGGAGGCCAACAGGCCGACAGCAAGCAGAGCAAGAGGGAGATGGAGAGAGACATCACACGCTCTCTCTTCTCCTCCAGGGTGGCTGAGATTAAGGTGAGGGCATGACAAGAGTTGACTGCTGCAATGTTTTTATTTTCTCTAATTGTCTAAATGATGTTTAATCAGTCTGAATAGAATGAATTTCGGAAGGGGACAATGAATGCCCTCTTTCATTTAAAGGTTATATATACAGAATTTACTTGCCATGCTACCGCTGACCAGATTCCTTTGAGAAAGCCAGTAATTTTACCTAGCAGATAACTGTTGGGTCTCTGTAAATGTTATAAGGAGTTCGGT